ACATTTGAGGACACCAGCACCAGTGCCATTAAGTTCTACAGAAGGTGGCACCAGCACCTGACAGTAAAGCACTCACCCCATTCACACATGTACATCTCGGAGATGTCTATTTGATGTCTGTATTTACATATGCAAGATGTATTTTTTAGAGTGTTTGCTCATCTGCAATACGTCTCTAAGACGTTTCCAGTCAGATGTCAAATAGACATTTATTAGAATGCATGTAAAACTGCTTCTGAGACTACACAGCAGATGTTTCCCAGATCTTTAGCAGACGTCTTACAGATGTACTTGTGCTGTCTGGGTAGTTGAGATGCAGATAGAATTAACTTTTATTACTGTCATTCATAATGTCTAAGTATAATTTAATAAATACAAAAAATATATATATATTAGGGAGTGGAAATAGCTAATAAGCCTGTACTTCTTTGCAGCCATCTACTAGTGGTAATTTTATTTCTTTTTTTATTTTGAAATAAATGTTTGATTTGTACCCTCAGATTCCAGATTTTCAAATAGTTGTATCTCGCCCAAATATTGTCCTATTCTAACAAACCATACATCAATGGAAAGCTTATTTATTCAGCTAAATACTATTCAGCTTATTTTATTCAAAAAATTGACCCTTATGACTGGTTTTGTGGTCCAGGGTCACATATAGCTTCCACCAGAATACGACCATTGAACAGTCCCTCCAGGATTTCGCAGAACTTTTTTCAGATTTTTGCGGCCTAAAATGACTGATTTTGCTGTGGCTTTTCTCAAAATTTGCGGTGATATTTGCGGCATTTCTTATTGTTTTGCAGTGAAAATATACCACAGACAAAATTCTTCTAACATTGTTATGACTTTTCTGACTTCGAGAACCATTGCAGGGCTCCAGACTAACATTTGAGGACACCAGCACCAGTGCCATTAAGTTCTACAGAAGGTGGCACCAGCACCTGACAGTAAAGCACTCACCCCATTCACACATGTACATCTCGGAGATGTCTATTTGATGTCTGTATTTACATATGCAAGATGTATTTTTTAGAGTGTTTGCTCATATGCAATGTCTCTCAGACATTTCCTGTAAGATGTCAAATAGACATTTATTAGAATGCATGTAAAACTGCTTCTGAGACGTTTATCAGATCACACAGCAGATGTTTCCCAGATCTTTAGCAGACGTCTTACAGATGTACTTGTGCTGTCTGGGTAGTTGAGATGCAGATAGAATTAACTTTTATTACTGTCATTCATAATGTCTAAGTATAATTTAATAAATACAAAAAATATATATATATTAGGGAGTGGAAATAGCTAATAAGCCTGTACTTCTTTGCAGCCATCTACTAGTGGTAATTTTATTTCTTTTTTTATTTTGAAATAAATGTTTGATTTCCTACATTATGAAACTTTTAGTTTTATAAATGGGGGCAACCTATGAAGGATGAACAAATAATGTCATCATCACATTAAAAATAACTTTCAAATTCGGTAATACTTAAAGCTTTGAAGTGCTGGGAAAAGTTGTCTGAAGCATTTAAAAACACTCGAAAACATTAGATCATTTCTGCCACAAGTTGTTCCTGTAGTTTTATTACGTTAAATCCATGGTGAATGGTGGTGATTTGTGTTTGTTGTGTTTTTCCTGGTTTCCACATCAGTAGCGTTTGTTCTGATATCTGTAACTTTAACAGAATTCTGCGCCGAATTTGAATGCTTCTCACAAGATTTCACAGAGATGTTATTGATTCTGCGGCGAATTCGACTACTTTCTTCACTGTATCTCCCAGCGCTATGTATAACGGTGTCGCGTGATCGAGATCAGCCCGCGGCTCCGGTGGCCGGCCCGAGCAGATAAACGTTCTGCGAAGCATAGCCCAAACGAGTAGAGCGGGTTCATTCCGCTTTCGGTTCGTTTGTCCAATGTAGCTCTTGTAAATCAGTCATGATGAGAACGCAAGGCTGTTCATTCCATTTTTGGAACTGAGAAACAACCTTTCTTTGACTGAAGGCACGTTGTGATGACGTCACGGGACGCATCTAAGCCCAAAATCTGCAGGAAATATGCAGCAATTACAAAAATTTGCGAGCTCTTGCGAAAATTGCGGAGTTTGCTTGATTTTGCGATAAATTCACCAATCGCAGAATCCTGGAGGGACTGACATATGAACTTTATAATAGCCAATTTCCTTTGTCTAAATATGAAAATGTGAGCAGATGTATTCACTGCTCTCTTTAAAACTGGTCTCTATTCAGAGATCAGCATGAAATTTGATACTGCACTGAAAAAGGAAGAATATAATTGCTACCTTAGCTTTTTGTACCTGATCTAACCCTTAAAAATAACTTAAGTTGGTGTAACTTAGTGCAGACCTTTATATTAGGTTACATAATGCAGTTGATTCTGTTGTATTAGATTAATTCATATGTACCACATGAAGTACATTTTCGATCGCCTGACAAAACATGTTTAAAACTTTCTTTGTGGATTTTAGAGTAATTCCCTGAAAAAGGCCTCTAGCTAAATGAACCGCCCCTTAGGGAAGTCACAGGACTGCCATTGGCTAAGACAGCTCTAAGGACCCTGGCAAGTAAACATAGCAGAGGAGTGTCGAATTCATTCTTTCAGTTTGTCTGACTACACTGTAAAAAGTGAAATGTGAAGGAGTGACTTCTACCTGACCCATGAGAATGAATCTTGTTGGTCTAATCTAATATAGTCAGGCTGATTCAGGCAATATTTGTTAACCACTTTTCCAGTTACCTGACAAACATATTTTCCAGTGTACAATGGGAAAGTGCTAGTCTGGCATAATATACAGTATTTACATAGGTGTACAAAATAAAATGTTCATATTGTTGTATTCTTTGCTGCTCTAAGGCCAAATGCAATGCAAATCAACTGATACATGACAGATTCAGAAAAGAGTTTAATTTTTGGACGATTACCATCTGACTTTCGAGGAACAACATCTCATCATCTCTATCCAGAAACCTAAGCTTGTGGAGGTATCAGTTATCACGGCAGATTTAATTATATCATTAATTCCAAGTCAAGCGAGATAAGCTGATTCAATGCAAAAAGCACTATTAAAGATGAATGTTGAGAGAATGCACACAAGTCCAAGTAGATGTAATAACACATTTGAATATGAAAGCTCGTTATCGGTGTACGCTTGGAAGAGCAGGGAGGGACTGGGCATTATGGCCGAACATCTGTAGAAGACATTGATTTTACAAGGCTCTTAAGTGAGGCAAATGTTTTCAGTGCATCGATTAAAACAGCAGACGACATGACGGGAGATAAAACCACAAAGTAGCCTTGAAAGTGTGAAGCCAAATTGTTATACGAAGATAATTAATGGTGCCCATCCTGAAGTGTGTCTAATGAGTGTGATAGGAGTGGATTAAGTAAGGGAAAGCACTGGCAGAGACAAATAATCCCTTTGCCATATGATTTCCACATATATGGCTTCTAGGTAGGCAGCTCCCTTTAGCTAATGAGAAATCAAACTGATCCCAGTGCAGTTGAGAAACATAAACTTTGACAGATAGAAGAATAGCGAAAAGACTTGTGGGAACTGTGTTAAGAAAAACAGTCATCATCATAATAATAGCTTGTATTGCTGCAATAACAGGCTTTATTGCTTACATCATTTTTAAAGGGATACTTCACCCCAAAATTAAAATGCTGTTATTATTTACTCACCTTCACATTGTTCCAAACCAGAAAGAGAAATTGAGGAATCTGCCAGATGCTTATTAACATGTAATTACAAAAACTAAAACGGGACGCAAAAGCACCATAAAATGATCTTAAAAATAGTCTACTTGATTTCTTGCACTATTTTCCAAGTATTCTCAAGTCATACAAGTGCTTTTTAAGAGTAACAGATTGGTTATGTTTGGATCAACCGATTCATTGAAAAGATACACCTCTAACAAATCATTTATTTACAAATAATTTCTTCTCTCATGAACACTCTCCCATGGAAAGAAAGTGACGTGACATGTGGCCAAGTATAGTGACTACATTCACTCCCCCCACCTACAATCCCTGCCGGTACGAGACTCGAACCCACAACCTTTGGGTTATGAGTCCAACTCTCTAACCATTAGGCCACGACTTCCCTCTAAGCTAAGGCAGATGTCAAGATTTTATAACAACTCTGCATTTTGTTCCTCACAAAATTGCCATCTTCTGGCTCCAAAACACTTTGAGAATAACAGCCTTCGAGATGTGCGGATTACTTTTATGACACATTTATTACAGTTCACAGGCTTGACATTTTAAATCCCCATTCACTGTCATTTGATGGAAACTACATTCTTCGAAAATTTCGGCTTTTGTGTTCCACAGGAAAATAATACAGTCATACAGGTTTAAAACAACAACATGAAGTTAACTGAATTTTACTTTGGGTGAACTATTTCTTTAATAAACATCACTTCGCAGTGTTCAGTAACACTGCCTTCTTCACAAGGGTCTAAAAGAAACACTCTATTTGATTTCTGCAGCGGCTTCATGTTAACTTGCCTTTCTCCCCACATAAACATGGACACGCTACTGCTGCCGTGATTCCTGCTCAATGTCTGACTAACATTCCGGGCATTTACGCCGCACCACTTCAACAGTCCTGATACAAACCATTTATTAATAATCTCGTCTGGCGTATTTGTTAACAGAGTCGTTTGCGATATATGTTGTGGATTCGCTGGAAGTACGTTAGGCTTCCTATATTTGGCACTGCTATTCTCATTCGCAATCTCTTTTTAGTACATAAGCACATTATACAGCGTGCAGTGATCGTGATATCCACAGAATGACTGTCTGAGCAGAGATCACGGCGCGAAAACACAATGCGCTCGAGATGCAAAGCTGACCGTTATTTTTGCCGTTCAGCAGTCGAGGCAGCTAGCAACAGGCCGGGATGGAGCGAACTCGCCGGCGAGAAAAACGTCGTTTTCCTTAACATAATGCGGTCGGTGTGTAACGGCGACACACTTACCTTGATTTGGCACTGGCGTACTAGTATCTCCACAGCGCGTATGTTTTAACGAAAGGGATGCTTCGCGAGTCGTGGCGGAAACAGGAACTGGGGAGACTGGCTGCTGCTGTCTGAATTCTCGCTGCTGGGCTCTTGAGGAGGCTGCTCGGCTGTCGCTGGGCTGCACTGCGCATGCGTGTGTCAGATCACCAAGATACAAGTGCTCCTCGGCACCGATTGCAGTTTCTTGGATCTCATTATTCATGGTTTTGCCATCGTAATGCGACTGATTTTCTCCGTACAAATGTGACAAACAGTCATTTCACTAATGAGACCGCAGATAAAGCAATTTAAAGCGACCGATCGTGTGGGATTGTATAAAAAAAAAAAAATAATAATAAAAAAGCCCACTATTATGCAAATGTAAGACACTCTCGGGGTTGTACAGATTAATACATATTACATTTCTAATAAACGTCCAGTCCAACATAAGGCTCGGAAAATCTTATGTTCAGTGTTTCCATTCTGAACATATATTGTACTAGACACTGAATTCCTGTTTACAGTATTTTTACTGTTTATATAGCATTTTTGTAGCATTTTTATACTTTTACACACATGCATATTTCCATTTAGATACTTTGTATTTTGCTCTCAGTATTTGATTTTTAATAACGCTTGACTTGTTTTGTGATCATCTAAGCAATTGTATAAGTTTACTTATTGATGCAAAATACTATAATTTTAACATATAAAAGGAAACAATGAGTTAAAGTTTTAGAGCCTGTCAGGCCAGTGTTATAAGACCTCATTTGGTCTGAAGAAGCCCATTTCTACCACATAAGAAAAAAAACATTCATGCTTTGAAACCCATCATTACTGTATGACATACAAAGTCATAATTATGAGATAAAAAGTAGCAATTATGAGATAAAAATTCATAGTTATGAGATAAATGTCAAAAGTAATCTCTCTCTCTCTCTCTCTCTCACACACACACTAAATCGAGGGCAGTATGACTGTAATCATTGTTGCATCACTCCCACCCAGTGGTCTGACTGTGGAATCACATCATGAACCTCCCACTGGGTTTTGCCTACAGTATTTTCCAAGTATTAAAATGGAGGTTTAAATCTAGAGCCAAATAATACGGAATGACTTTTGTATCAAATATAAAGACCTTTATACATACATACGTATATATATATAACCGTGTTAACCTTGTCATATTATTTAGGTGTCCACAGAGAGTAAGAGAATAGATCAAGAAATAGCATGCTGTTTAAAATATTGTGAATATAAAAACAAAAAATTATATAATAATAATAATAATATATTCTCAAAAATATTAACAACATTAAATGAAGTAATTGGTTGATTGATTATTTATGTTTCTTTATCCTCGGTCGCTCTCACGGTTCTCCTGGCATTTTCCCATTTTCTTTTCCCGTATGGCAAGGCGAATTATTTTCTACATTTTGGAAGATGTAGGAAAGATGAGATGATTTCAAATAGATTACAATTTGGGCACACAGGACTAAATGCATCACTATACAACATAGGTAAACATATTCCAGGTAAATGTGCTTTTTTGTGGTGCCTATGGTGCGGAATACGCCAAAAATTCCAAAGAAGAAGAAGAAGTATGGCAAGGCGACCAGCGTGATGTTTCTGTTGTTTTTATAGTCTATTATATGTATATGTGTTTGTCACGCGGATACGTGGCTCGTGCTAGTCGGAAGCATCACTTCTCGCACGCGCTTTGCGTCGGGGCAGTTCCATAGCAACCGTGAAGAACAACATGGTGAGTTCCCATCCTGCTTCTGCTTTTAATACACATTATTATGTGAGGTTACTGAGGGCAAAATGCATTGTTCTAAATTAGGAAATAAAGAGTTTGTTATTATAATAAAACGACAACATCACGCTGGCTGGAAAAACAAGCTGCATCAGTGTTCATCGCTTGAGTCAGGCAGTTTGCGCAGATAAACATTTACGTTAGCCACCTTGCTAGCTTATTAGCAGGTTAGGTTTTAAATGTGCAGAGGTTTTGGTTTATTAGGTATTAAACGGGCTACAGAAGATGTCAACATAATGTGGAGAGTATAGCCAGCTTAGCATCTGTATTAGTGAGCTGGATTTTAATAACACACAGTAGCATATTCGTAGAGATACAGAGAAAAATACATTTTATTATAATTTATTAGGCTCTTTAACTATATTTTTTGCAACAAACATAATCTTACCTTGCTGTGAGTCATCACGAGTTTATTATGTGTGTTTTCAGGCAAAAGCAACAACTATTAAAGAGGCCCTGGTGAAATGGGTAAAACATGTTTTGCTAATTTAGTTTGTAGATTAGCTTTTCCAAGTTTTAATCCATTAAATATTCACAGTAAATATGTAAGCTCTGCTCTGTGTCAGTCAAATTATCTTAATTGATTTCGCTTGGTTGTTTGAAGGAGGAGAAATCAGGTGAAAAAGCGAACGAGGCCACAGCAGTGAAGCTTTATGGTCAGATCCCTCCCATTGAAAAAATGGATGCATCTCTCTCAAATCTTGTCAACTGCGAGTGAGTCGAAATATACAAATACACATAATTTTTAGTGTATTTTCTTATAAACCAACATCAATGTGTGTCAGATATAATAACTCTCTAATATATCTTCATTGTATGTTCTGTTCTGCCTAGGAGATTATCCTTATCTACAAACTGTATTGAAAAAATTGCCAACTTGAATGGTCTAAGTAAGTACACCCGTCAAGTGCATTTGTCATGATTACTGAGCAGTTTATTTACATATTTCTCCTAGAGAACCTTAAGATATTGTCCTTGGGGCGGAATAACATCAAAAACCTTAATGGACTTGTAAGTAAAGTAACCAAACATTAAGGATAAGGTTAAGAAGTGGACTCCTCTTCTCTCTAACTCGTCCTCTTCTGTCCCCGACAGGAGGCAGTAGGTGATACTCTGGAGGAGCTGTGGATCTCTTATAACCTCATAGAAAAACTGAAGGGAATTCATGTCATGAAGAAACTCAAAGTCTTGTACATGTCTAACAACTTGGTCAAGGAGTGGGGTGAGCATGGAAGATAGATTACTGAGAGTCCAATAGCAGCTTAGCCAAGGTATGTCAATGATGAGCATTTTATGAGGCTGTTTGTTCCTTTAGGGGAGTTTCAGAAGCTGGCAGATCTTCCATCATTGGTAGACCTCGTCTTTGTGGGGAATCCATTAGAAGAGAAGTATTCTGCAGATGGCAACTGGATAGAGGAAGCTACTAAGAGGCTTCCCAAGCTTAAAAAGCTAGATGGTAAGCAGCATATTTGTCCAATAATTAAACAATTAGTTAAACATGTAGACCATACAGACCATGGTTGCAAAAATGACCCTTGATGATTCCTCATAATTTTCATTTTTAGGAAACCCCGTTATCAAACAAGAAGAAGAGGAAGGTGAAGGGGAGAGTTAATGCAATTCCTTTAAATATTCTAAAGTTGGTGCATTTTTATTGTTTAAACACCAGCATTTTAACTATTAGAAGTCTGTGCAATATTTGCATTTTTTTAGGTGTGTTTATATGGAATAAGCTAAAAACCTAAATCCATTTTCTTGAGCTTTAACACTATTTGAATAGATTTGAAAAGCACACACTTGATGCGTTTTGTTAGCCTTAGCACAAGCGGAAATATACAATCACAATGTATGGGTCGTGCAGAAGGACAGATTGGATGGTACTCATTACTTACACTGTAAAACAAAATTGAACAATGATGCCATTGTTACCTTAAAGAACTATTTCTACTTAATCTAACTTATGCTTAAAAATTATTTTGAAGAATTAATATGTACACCTATAATAATTAATAATTTAACAACTTGATTCAGTGAAATAAGATCTTTGACTTGAATAACCAGTTAATTTCCATGTTACCACATGAAGGACATAATAAAAGTTAAGAAAGTTAATGACAAAACTTTTCAGGGAGTTCAATAACTTGTTAGATTGTAACAGTAAATGCAAGCCAGTGACAGCAACTACAAAACTGGAATTATTGATCAAGTGTGTGACATAGGCTTTAACTGTTTTGTTTGGTGGTGCTATGCTTTAGTATGTCTCTGTTAGGAGGCTACTTTAAAAATTCTCTGTATTTGAAGTTCATTAATAATTGCAAGATTCAAATTCTAAATAGCATACTTTTTGTAATAAATTTGTTTGGACATAAGCAAATTCCTAATCTATTTGCAGTTATTCTGTTGTCATACAGTTCCATCACTAAGTGTATTGTTAACATATTATATTGTATGTGGTACTTAAAGCAAGTTGCACAATGAGAGCAATTTAACACTTTGTAGCATGTCTCCATAGAGTAACATAAGTGTACTGTGGCCAAATAAAGACACCATAACTAATATTGTAATAAAAACGTTGTCTGACTTTCCTGTTAAAAATTTTATAAGTGTGATTTCAATTTTATAGTTACGATTTTGAGCATGTTTTTGACCCCTCTACATGTTTTTGTTTACTGTTTCTCACAAGAAAAAATAAACTATTTTGTCCTCTGCTCAATTTATGTTGTTATCATCTGTTATTATTACCATTGCTTTGAATTTCTGGTAACACTTTACAATAAGGTATCATTTGTTAACATTAGTTAATGCATTAACATGGACTAAGAATGACCAATATATTTTTACAGCATTTATTGTGCCCAACCTTTGTTAATGTTAGTCAATAAAAATGTTCGTTTTAGTTCACAGTGCATTGATTAATGTTAATGGAATGTTGAAATTAAAATGAACTAAGATGAACAAATTGTTAATTGTCAGTTCATGCTAACTTATGTTAATAAATGAAACCTTGTTGTAAAGTGTTACCGAAATGTGTCTTTATTTAGGGGATGAGCGTTGAGTCGTGAACAGTAGGGGGCAGTAAAGTTCTTTACAATTTTTTTTACTTTGATTTTTCACTTCATTGCTTGGTTATCATAAACGTTACATATTAACAAAATATGAGAAAATGTTGTTCTTCTTTGCATTTGTATGACTATGCAACAAGGCGTTTGGTCGGTATTTACATGTTAGTATATTTTCCAATAGAACTGCGGAATTTAGAAGGAGAGATTT